CCAGGCCTGTATCATCTCATTTCATCTTTACAACAACCTGTGATACCAGGGCCTCCCGATAGCTCAGAGACAAGGAAAGCGAGGGGAAGTAAGTTCATTGGGTCACAGCTAGGAAGAGACAATGCCACGTGCAATGCCAGTCTGTGTGGTGTCCTTAGCAGCCTGGCTTGAAAGTGCTTACATCAGGGGCATCAAACCTACCTGCTTCCACCAGCCACCTGGCAGTCCTAGCTCAGCCCTCTGGAAACAGGCAGAGAATGTGTAATCTCTTTCCACAGCCAGCCCGTCAGGGAAAACGAGGGCGTCTATAAGACCTTCCAACATGATTTTCCCCAAGGCAACGGCGCACCTGCTGTTCCGGCCTTAGCTGGTCACTCTGCTTCTGCCTGCTCTGACATGAAGCTGTGCTTCCCAGCTCTGGGCCCGTCTCTGGAAGTGGGCTTCCGTCTCCCTCTACCCACACCCTCTCCTTTTTTTTTTTTTTAGGGAGAGTTTTGTTTGTTTGTTTGTTTGTTTTTGCTATAGGGCACATGTGCTCACTGGAGAAACAAACAGGATGTGAGAAATTACCCTCCCAGGGGGGATGGCCATGCCACAATCCCTTCTCCTCTAGGGATTTGGGGCACACATGCACACGTACCCAGCCTGAGTTTTAATCCTCTGGGTCTGAGGCTCGAACCACACTTGACTACATGGGAGTCCAGTGATGTAACCATTACGCCATCTGCTGGTCCTCACACCCTCGACTTTTTAGAATACAGCCCAAGAGTCATTTCTCCCTGACCCCACCCCCCCTCCCCGCCCATCAGTTTGACCAAAACCTAGGGAAGGTCTCACCCTGGGGAAAACCATCAGTTTGACCAAAACCTAAGGAAGGTCTCACCCTGGGGAAAATGAGCTTCAGATTCTGGGCATGGAGATTCCATATCCGAAAGAACGACCCCGGAAGAGAGTCCATGTCGTCCCCTAAACAGAGAGCCCACTCCCGGTTCCAGGCAGCAGTGAGTCAAACGTCACCGCTCGGCTTAAGCGGAGCAGTACTTCCAGCTCCTGAACGCAGCTGGGAAACAGGACGGGGCCCCCTGCCCTGGATTTCTTCCCTTTGCCCATGCTCTGAGCAGGGACAGATTCTGGGTGGGGCCACCCATGTCCAAGTCTGTGTCCTCCTGCAGGGGGAGAATCAAACACCTGGATGTGGTGACCCTGCTGAGAAGGATCCAGCCCCCCCTGGGCTTCGGGAAGTTCTGCCCACACCGGGTAGCATGTAAGGTAACCAGAGCGCCCAGGGAGGGGTGTCCATCCCCCCACCCTGCAGAGGAAGAGGCACAGGGGCTGTGGGCGGGGAAGCTGGTGAAGGCCTGATGGAATGAGGACTTCAGGGCAGTGATCTCCTGGGCCCCCAGGTCCCTCCCAAGGACCTCAATTCTTGGCAGTGTCCCCCAGTCATCTTGCCATCCCTGGAGAAGGGCGTCCTGGTCAGCCCACACCCCTGGCCTTCATGTCCCATGCGCTCCCGGCCCACAGCCCGGGTGAGGATGTCCTGCCCAGCTTGGCCTGGTCCCAGCTCCGCAGCAGCCACTGCTTCTCCCTGCACAGCGGCTGGTAGGCATGAACATGCCCCTGAACAGCGACGGCACGGTCACCTTCAACGCCACCCTCTTTGCCCTGGTCCGGACGGCACTCAAGATCAAGACGGAGGGTGAGTGTGTGCCACCTGCACCTCCCGGGCGTTTTCAGGCAGTGTCTGCCCAGTGAAGAAGCAGGGGAAGGCCTCAGACTGTGGCCACAAAATCCTCAGACCCCTCTGGGCTCAGAGGGAACTAGAGAATGTTCTGCAGAACAAGGCCACTGCGGGTCTGTTCCCACACTCCTCAGCAGAGTCTGTAGGTCCGAAAAGCACCTGCCTGAGCACAGAGGTGGGTGGGAGGGGCCCAGAGAAGCACCTCCAATAGCGCAGGGGTGGAAGGCCGGAGGTTCGGCCCTGGCAGGAGCAGAGCAGGCAGGCTTTGGGAGTCCACACATGGCTCCACTACTGCTGCTGTCCTTGCCACCCAGATGGCAGAGCAGGTAGGTGGGGTGGTGGCTGAGCCCCTGCTCAGGGCGCTCCCTGCATCGGGACCATTGTGGGCCTCTGAGCAGGTGCAGGAAGGTGGCCTCAGGAGGGTGGAGAGGAAGGCCAGGTGAGAGCAGTGCAAAGGCTGCAGGCGTACTCGGGACAGACTGTGGTGTGGGGTAGTTGAAGCTCTGAAAGAGCAGAAGTCAGTCACTCTGACCCTGGAAGCCAAGACCTGGGGGAGAGAGGAGGAAGGAGGGCAGAACCTGATCAGGGGTTTAGGCTACCGCAGAGGACAGTGGCATCCTCCCTTCCTTGCTGTGGAAGAAGCTTAGCCTGTGTTTGCTGAGTGGCTGACTGGCTCTCCCAGAGGTTCTAAGAGTGCTGGATGGGCTTAGCAGGTACCGTCGCCCAGTCTGGATGACGTGGGGTCCCCTTGCCTTTCCCTTACCCAGGTAACTTTGAGCAGGCCAACGAGGAGCTGCGGGCCATCATCAAGAAGATCTGGAAGAGAACCAGCATGAAGCTGCTGGACCAGGTCATCCCTCCAATAGGAGGTGGGTGCCCCTTCGGAGGCCAGAGTCCAGAAGCAGCAGAGGGAAAGGAGCACGTGGTGCTCTGAGAAACCCGGTGGAGGTGTGAGAATGTCCGGTACCCTCTGTAAATACGCTGGCGGCATCATGGGCATCTGATAGGGCAGCCACCAGCCTCGGGGTGCAGAGTGACCATGGCCAGCTCCCCTGCGCCCAGCAGAAGCCAGTGTCAGGTTCCCTCTGGCCTTCAGGATATCCCTCCTTAACTCCTCTGCAGATGACGAGGTGACAGTGGGGAAGTTCTATGCCACTTTCCTCATCCAGGATCACTTTCGCAAGTTTATGAAGCGCCAGGAGGAATATTATGGGTATCGGCCCAAGAAGGACACCGTGCAGATCCAGGTATGCCCAACCCAGCTAAGTTCAAAGGACTCCCCTGCTG